AAGCTCACTCAAGTACAGCCTCTGGGCAGCACATGCAGGTGAGGTCTGATTCTCTGGATCAAATTATACATGAGAAATTGCCCTTGTTGGTGACAGTGGTGCTCAGTCCCAGGAGCCCTGAAGAGCTCCAGCTGGCAGAGAAGCGCTTGCCCCACGTTGCAGTCCCTGCACTGCCAGACCCATCATCCAAGCAGCAGAACAGGCACCCGGGCAGGCAGAGATGGACCAAGGAGCACAAGCGAATAGGGGGCAGCAGGGAGCACCCAGTATGGGGAAGCTGTCTGCAGAGGGTACCAGGTCATATGTGGTCTCCTGCTAACTGTGTGAACATCCTGCAGAGCAGGATGGCAAGGGCATTTGGAGTTCTGTTGTCCAGGGCAAGCTGCATGCTGCTCTCCACTTCCAGCAATCAAGTGCTTGGCTGGATATAGGAGGCTTATTGTGAGGGTGAAACTGGGGCTTTTAATGCAGATAGGGAAGAGGGCTGGCAGGGGAAGCACCTGAATCACTAAATTGAAGTCCTAGAACAGATGTGTGAATGTTAGCTGTACAGGGATAAATCACAGCATCTGCTGAGTTCTGCTTCCCTGTGTGTGACCATGCATGCAGCTACTGCTCTCAGCGCTTCTCAAAACAGGTGGTGTTCAGAAATTTGACCTCAGCAATTATAAATGAGAGAATCATGTTTTTATTAATATCATCTTATTCTTTGCTGTCTTTCTGCATATAGAGTACCTGTGTTTTCTGTGGAGGAAGTGGTAGATATACTAATGATAATGACATTTATAGTGATTGCCCACGCTATAAAGATGAGGATGGATGAGGTAAGAAAAACCCAAATGCCAGTCCAAATGGCAGCTTGGTTACCAGGATCTCATTTTTTTTCTCTGACAGTGGAGGTGAGCAAATAGATGCTACCTGCAGCCCCAGCTAAATGAAGGATACACACCAGTGTGAGAGGGGTCAAAAGCCCTGATTCTAACAGAAGATTATGGCACATGTGCTGAGCTTGCAATGAGCTTTACAAATACAGAAAAAGCCTTGAGACGTGGTGGCTTGGTAACAGGGTCCTTTGTGAGAGCTGGCTTTACAGCCATCCTGTGAAGATAGTTATTAATGGATTATGCCATTTTAGTGCTTGATTTCCCTAATCAAAAGAAATCTGTAAATCTGCTTTTCTCTCTGCAGGGACATTCAGTAGGCAGGATATAGGGATTCCCCCCCCCTTTAGTGTTATTACCCAAAACCACAGATGACAGCACTCTGGCTTGCTCAGCTCACCTCTCTTCCCACCCATTGCCCTGTGGTGCCACTGAGCTGCAGTGGCAGAGGGATGCAAGGCTGCACACCAGGAATGCTTCCCCTGTGCCACTGCTGTGTGTTAAGACTGCTTTCCCCAAAGACCCAAGTTCACATGTTTTTTTCTTGCATAGGTGCTTTTCCTGCCATGGGGAGGGCTGGGCACTTTGTGACGAGCAGCACAAATTGCCACTTGCTTTGTCACTCATACTGTAACCTGGCAAGTCGGAGCCAAATGAATCTGCACTGGGCAGCTATTTCTGCTGCTGGATTTTATTGATTGAAGTCCTGCCTGCTGGCAGCAGCACTGACCAATGTGTCTATTGGTTTGCTTGTGGCTGTAGTGTGGAGCTGCCAATCACTTGTTAAGCCACTGACTCCCTCCAAGCTTTAACAACTACTTTAAAACTTACTGTATCCTTCTGCAAGTGATACTCTTCTACCTTTCAGAAGCAGTACCCAGACATTCCTTCTGCTCTGATCCTCAGCTGTAACTGCTGGGATGAGCAACAGCTCATTCATAGATAGCTACAGCCAGGTCACATTTCTAATTGCATGTAATAATCCCCAAATCCCATTGTTTAATGCTCTTAAGCATAACCCATTGTCCTACTCCACAGAATCAAGGTTTTCCCTTTTCTTTTTTTTTTCTTTTTTCTTTTTTTTTAGCTTGTTTTTCCAGTGAAAGGAGACAATTTAGGAACAAGCTCTCATGAGTAATGAGTAACCAGTGACAGTTATCATGAGTAACCAGTAACGAGTGGTGTCCCTCAGGGATCAGTGTTGGGACCAGTCTCGTTCAACATCTTTGTCACTGACATGGACAGTGGGATTGAGTGCGCCCTCAGCAAGTTTGCCGATGACACCAAGCTGTGTGGTTCGGTTGATACGCTGGAGGGAAGGAATGCCATCCAGAGGGACCTTGACACGCTTGTGAGGTGGGCTGATGCCAACCTCATGAAGTTTAACCATGCCAAGTGCAAGGTCCTACACCTGGGTCGGAGCAATCCCAGGCACAGCTACAGGTTGAGCAGAGAAGAGATTCAGAGCAGCCCTGCGGAGAAGGACTTGGGGATGCTGGGCGATGAGAAAATGAACATGAGCCGGCTTCAGTGTGCGCTCGCAGCCCAGAAAGCCAACCGTATCCTGGGCTGCATCAAAAGGAGCGTGACCAGCAGGTCGAAGGAGGTGATCCTGCCCCTTTATTCTGCTCTCCTGAGACCTCACTTGGAGGATTGTGTGCAGTTCTGGTGTCCTCAACATAAAAAGGACATGGAACTGTTGGAACAAGTCCAGAGGAGGGCCATGAGGATGATTGGGACTGGAGCACCTCCCGTATGAAGATAGGCTGAGAAAGTTGGGGCTGTTCAGCCTGGAGAAGAGAAGGCTGCGTGGAGACCTCATAGCAGCCTTCCAGTATCTGAAGGGGGCCTATAGGGATGCTGAAGAGGGACTCTTCATTAGGGACTGTAGTGATAGGACAAGGGGTAATGGGTTAAAACTCAAACAGGGTAAGTTTAGATTGGATATAAGGAGGAAATTCTTTCCTGTTAGGGTGGTGAGGCACTGGAATGGAGGGAGGTTGTGAATGCTCCATCCCTGGCAGTGTTCAAGGCCATGTTGGACAGAGCCTTGAGTGAGATGGTTTAGTGTGAGGTGTCCCTGCCCATGGCAGGGGGGTTGGAACTTGATGATCTTTAGGTCCTTTCCAACCCTAACTATTTTATGATTCTATGATCTAACAGGCTGTTTGATACAGCTTTGTTTTCCTTCCTGTCATACTATACGTGCATTTAAGGGTGTGAGCACTCTGAAGCAGTTATGGTTTTGAGCTGTTTAGAATTATTCTGTGTGGTTTTTAACTGCTGATGCATTTCCAAGCTTCTGAGTCAATATGCAAAATGGAAAAGGAGCACTTTGCAAAAGTGTGCCTCGAACATAGCATGAACAACCCAGCACATCCCTAAATAATGCTTTGTAGCTGCACAGTCACTACAGCTGTTACAAAGATGCTTGTCAAATGTTCTCTAGGCATTTGACTGGAGTGGGACTGCATCATGTGTGGATGTAGCTATGTGGTAGACCATATGGTATTCTCTGTACGATGGGGCATGTGGCTGTAGGTTTGTGCCAAGATGTTGAGCTCTTGGAGGTCAACATTGCTCAGTGGTACTGGATGGCTCAGTGAAAATGATGGCAATGTCTGTACCAGAGCTAGCTCTGCACGCTTCCTTACTAGAGAGGATTCATTTTCCTTTCTATCCTAGTGTTCACTTTGTCCCTGGTGAGAGCCGCAGAGAGGCTCTGCCAGTGGGTTACAGGAGAGGTACTGAGGAATGGAAGTATCCACATCTCAACTCCCCTACCTAGAGCCCTGGTAAGCTGAATGGTAAATTTCTGTTCTCTGATGTCATTCGCACTGTTGCACATAACTGTGTTGGTGGCTATTGTTGCAGAGACTGTCTGAACATAATTAAAACCAGCTTGCATTTGTGGTGTTGATAGTCTTAGCTACCTTAATTGTATTCCCGAAGGAATCTGCCAGTCTCCCCTGTCCAATTTTGCAGCATGCTGCAGTGAATGGAAACACAGTTCTCACCAGCTGTTGTTACAAGAGGGCGGGATGTTTGTGTCAGAGCCCAGCTGCCCTTCAGAGGACTGAGGTGGTTGTTTCCCATGGTTAGCTCCCCTGGAAGCCCATGGAGGAGGTGGGTTTCTGCATGCCTCCAGAACTGCTGTGGAGGGCAGCCCTTCCCTGCCTGCCCCTCTTCACCATGTTTGTAAGAATCTGGCCCTCCTGCCAGCCCTGGCTGCAGTGCTGGGCTCTGGCAGCATCCTGCTAATGGGGTTAATGCTGCTTGTGGTACCACAAAGAGCACAGCCCCTCCAAACACATGTGGCTAATGGGCTAATTAAACAAAGACTAGTTTGGACTTGAATGGGGAAAGGATAACCTGGTGTTAATAATCATGACAGGGCAGGGGCTGGTGAAGCCATGCCGTGAAAGCTCAGTATTGACTCTGCTGGCTCCCCCAGCAGGCTCCAAAGCAGCAAGGTTCTAAGCTTGCAAGTAGTGCACTGTGGCTGGAGACTGTGCCTGCGTTTAGGATGCTTAAGCCATTGATTTGAGCTCTAAAGGGGGGGGGGAAGAAAAGCTACTACCAGTAATTGCACCATTTGATCTGGAAGGACCCAAAGGGACAGCAGCTACTCCAGCTGCTGCCATAATGGAACATCTGATGAGGCTGTGGCAGTGCCTGGCTTGGCCTTACTACCTCTGTCCTTGACAAAACAGAGCACCCCACTGTTTACTCAGTGTGTATTTCAGCATGTGTCTTGTCCTCTTGGAATCTGAGATGCTCCAAGTGACAATGGCTGCAGCATCCTCCTTTGGAACCAGAGCAGAGTGGGTGAGCAGAATGCTGTGGTGTTGCTGAGGCCGTAGTCACTGGCTTATAACATTAACAGCATTACACTGCTCCTTCTCTGTACTCTGAGACCATGTGGAGAAAGCACATATTTGAGGTAACCAAATTAGGAAAGCTTAGGGTAACTTGACCACCGTGTAGTCATGAGCTCATTGCACAGCTATCATGTTCTCTGTAGAATCAGACATGTACGGGGCTTGTGCAGGGATGCACTTACTGGTCTAGTAAAAGAAAGGCGCTGAATGAAGCAGTGCTGATATCTTCTCTAGTGTCTGCGGTTGAAGGTACCAGGTATTTAATAATTATACTGGATATTGGAAAAAAAGCTAACACCAAGAACTTTGGATACATGGAACGTTCATGTGGTGTCCCAGAGGTGTCTGAAACATCTTCTATTCTCTCTATGCCTCTCTAGCTCTAATTTGGTCCTTCATGTAGTCTGTGTGATTTCTGACCATCTTCCTCTCCAAGGGGGCTTCCCTTAGGAAGCCAGCATGGTGTGCATGGGCTGTCTGGCACTTTCCTTCCTGGCAAGCTTCTGCTTCACCCAGCTTTGACATCAATTCATTAATTCCCACCATCTGCATTGTTTGGCAGAGGGGAGTGGCTCAAGGGGCTGAGTTTCCTTGCTGTGAGCAGAATTTGCAGAAAACAATGTATTCCGGAGGAGACGGCTGGGACAGGATCATCTCCGCTCCCAGCCCTTGTAAGTGGAACAAGGAGTGAAAGGAGGCAATAAGTGAAACTAAAAGAAATACATCACATGCCAAGCTGACGACTTTCTCTACTATTTTTATGCACTTGTACTTCTTGATTAAGATATTAATGAGCTGTGTTTTCAAGTAATATGTTAAAATAACTGTTTCCAGGACTGGAATATTTTCCACCAAATGTCAATATATGCACTCATCCAGTTGGTGTTTGTGAAAGGAGCTGGCATGTTGGTTGTGCCATGTCTCTGACATAGATGTGTTGCTACACCTTTAGGCACAATACAAAGCACACACTGATTCCAGTGGAACAGGAATCCTTAGAGATGTGAACTTAGCCCGTGAATCTCTAATCTTGAGATGTTTCCTGGGGTTGTCTTTAATGTGGGCTTCTTGGAGTCCACTATAAACTGCTTGATGGGTTAGAGATTAAACTGGAGCTTGTTATCTTTTAGTGAAATGCTGCTTAATCAAAATAGCTGTCATGATGGAGCTTTGAAATTATGCCCTTGACTATATATTTTTCATTAGATGTTAATATGGTGCCTGAAGAAACTCTGATTATGCAGAGCCCCAGTGAAATATTGCTGTCACTGATGTTACTGAAAGTAATTGAGTTCTGAGGTTCCTTAATTTATGAATGAGAAAAGCTTTGATTAGCTTAAATAAAGATGGTACAGGAAGTTTCTGCTTAATCAGATGGATAAAATTAAAAAGTTTGTGGTCCTGGAGGTGCTGTGTGGAGCACTGACATCCAGCTCCACCAGGCAGGTAGTGCAGCAGTAGGGGAAGTGATTGATGGGGATGAGAACTGCAGGTTAACTGCTAGGGTTTGCCAAAGATTGAGACTCTCACAAACTTTTGGCTATGGATCCAGTCCTAAATGCACTGAAGATGGGGGTCTTCCTGCTGACATTGATGGGCTTTTGCTCAGTTGCTGCTTGCCAGCTGCAATATTTGCTGTCTCCATGGATTGCCTGGAAGAGTGTGTGGGGAAAGCAGAGCTTGGCTCTGATTTATACATGCATGGCACTTGTCCCTCTCTGCAAAGGAATCTCCCTGAGCAAGAAAGCCCAGTTACTCCTCTGGCAGGAGGAATTCATCCCTGGTTCCCATAGAGAGGTGTGTTCATGCCAACTTCCTCTCCTTTAGGGGTTCTCTATAGCTGCCCAACAGTCATGTCCCTTGTACTGAGCCTTGACATCACAAGCGAGTGCTTAGCAGACAGCACCCTGAGGTGAGAGATGAGTGAACTTCCAGTTGAGAAACATGGTCTGAATGCATGCCACTGTTACATTTGACTGTTTCAAGCTCATGCATAAAAGCCTGATTTTAGACACCAAAGAAATGTAAATGTTAAGTGCACATGGGCCATGTGGCTCTTAGGCACCTCATGAAAGCAAACTGGGGTTTCCACCCATGTAAATCTTTACTCAGCTCGCAGCCTCTTGCACTCATTGCAGTTGATCACTCAGAGGCAGCAGCAGGGAGAGGTGGCAGTGTCCTGGAGGTCATCGTGGAGGACAGGGAGTCCCTCTGTAGAAGATGCTCACAAAGAAGTTGGTGTCCTTGTGCAGGAAGGGCAGGAACATGGCAGTGTGCAGAGTTGCCTATGTTTTAGCCACCATCCAGCACTGCCCTATTTGCTTACAAAAGGGCCAAACCTCTAATAACATAATTTTCATCCAAAGGTGAAAGCATGTTTTGATGCCAGCTTGGATGAGTCCAGTGGGAAGCTGGTGTGCGTTACAGGAGGGAGTACAGGTGGTGAGCTTGGTAACTCACCAGGTGAGTTTGGTAAGCTCACCAGGTGAGCTTAAAACCTGCAGCATGCCAGGTTTTAAGGAATGCTGTGATGTGGATTGTATATAAGTCTAACAAACAGAGCTTCGAGTCAAAGGCTGGAACTTGCTCTGTCACTGTGGTGGTAATTTTGCCAGCTATTTTTGTGTGTGTAGAGCTGAATCCCAATGATAGAGAACAAAACCTGAAATATCAGATGAGTAACAGCCTGAGCTCTGAATTTCCTGGCTTTGGTCAAAGCCTATCTCAGACTTATTGTTGGTTTAAAACGGAGCTATGTGTTCATGTTTATAGACTATTGTGATTTCCAGCAACATCACCGTAGCAACAACTGTGCAGTTGATATATTTACTCTGAATTTGGGATATTTTTAACCTGGTCATTTAAACCATTTCTACTGGACTGGAATTTGGTACTTTTATCTCTGTGTTTTGTTTTAAACGGGTTTTTGTTTAACATTTGCACATTAAAAAGAGACATTCAGGTTTTCTTGATAATGTGTACATAAGCCCATTATACTTTGAACTGGAAATCATAGACTCATAGAATACCAGGTTGAAAAGGACCTCGAAGATCATCTGGTCCAACCTTTCTTGGCAAAGCATAGAATCATAAAATAGTTAGGGTTGGAAAGGGCCTTAAGATCACCAAGTTCCAACCCCCCTGCTATGGGCAGGAACACCTCACACTAAACCATGTCACCCAAGGCTTCGTCCAACCTGGCCTTGAACACTGCCAGGGATGGAGCATTCACCTGGACTAGATGTGTGCCTAGCAGGGCACTTGCCGACCTGCAGAGGGCGGCGTGAGTCTTGGTGAACGGAAGAAATAGGAGCCCTCACTCAGCAGGTGGAGTCCTTTCTGTCCTTAAAGGTCTGTAAATGCTGTGGTTTCTGAGTGAGGAAGTTCACACTATTTTCAGTCACAGTTGTGTCCTTTTCCTCATGAGTACACAATTGTATACAGGCCTATCAAAACACCAAAACTAACCACCAGCAAAATAGAGGGAAGGAAAGTCACCACTCCAGTGTGGTTTCCCACGCTGTGGCATGGAAAAGGAAGCTGTAGTTTTATCATGACTGAAGCTCCAGCAGACTTGCATTGCGAACTAATTGGCAAGTAAATCCAAAATTGATTGAGATCCTTGAGGAGGATGTTTCTGTTTGGTCTAGACATGACTGAGATAATCACACTGAAGGCATCTTATGGATTTATTTTTCATGGCTATGTTCTCCATGGTCCTTATTACTCACCATTACTTGGAAACCTGTGCTCCTTCAGCTCAAGGACAGCCTTGTCTTTTGTGTGAGGGATGTGACATTTCAAACAAAGCATTGTAGTTTCCTATTTTCATAGGAAGGAATAATGGAGAGATGAATTTTGCTTCCTGGAAGAAAGCAGCATGCTCCCAGCAGAGAGGTCTAGTAAATCAAATTGATGGATGACTACCCTCAGCCTCTCCATGCCTGTCAGACTGTGTGTTGCTGCCAGGCTGGCATTTCCTGGCTCCTCTGTACGCTCTTTCCTTGCATGGACTGAATTTTTGTCATCAGCTGCTGCAATAGAAAAGGTCACTGGATAAAAGGCTTAATAAAAAGCATGGTTTCTGGGTTGGGCGTCAGGAGGACCAGTTGCTACCAGTGGGTATTTTTAGAGTGGTACCTAAGGAAACAAACAACTGCTATCCCACGAGCTGAATTAAAATATGTTGGAAACTTTTAGAACAAGGCAGTGAGCTTAAAGAGCAGAGTCACTGTTGATCAAACTAAGGACTGATGTGTCAAAGGCAGTCAAGTGATGCTGACCTTCTTATCTATGTTTGTGTCCCAGTAGAGATGTAAACGTGTACAGCTTTGAGCTCTTCAACTGACCAGGGAGCGTCTCTGGGTCTTTGGAAAGTGCCTGGTGCCCGTGTGCTTAACCCATCTGCCATGGGTGTCTATCCTGGCAGCTCTTCCCTGCTCCCTGCCGAGGGGTGCGGATGGTGCCCCAGGCTGCGGGCTCCTCGCCTCCGGGCTTGTAACGCCCGGTCCTCGGCTCTACCGGCACCAAGGCAGCTGGGGACCTGCAGGGCTTTGGCACCTACACAGGGTGTCAGTGTTGTTCCACTTCAGCACACGGACTGAGCTCCTGGAAAGCGAGGCACTGGGAAAGGACAGCAAATCCTCTGCCTGCCTCTTGGCTTGTGATAACTGTTTGGTCTCTACGTGCACTGTCTGACCTCCAGGCTCCCTCACTAATGTTTCTGTGTGCTGTAGGTGACCTGGACCCAAAGCCGGGCTGTCTCCTGGTGCCTTCTGCACCCCAGGAACAGCTGGATGACTGTGAGTGGATCACAGAGGTGTATGTGTGGCACTGATTTTGTCTGACTGACAGTTCGACTTCCTTTGACTTTTCTGGCAGTAGGGAAACACCAGCAGCTGCCTATCCCAAGGTGCACAGTCCCATGGAGCCCTCCCTCTTGTACTCTACAGCTACTGCAATGGGCACGTGCCTGCTAGCTCACAGATCACTTTTACCTCCCGTGCTGCAGTATGTGGCCTGCTCCTTTTGCAGAGAGGTATGGTTTGGGAAGTAATTACCTTTGATATCTGGCTGTGCTTCTCCCTGCTTAGAAAGTCATCAAGACCTCAGCCAAGCAGGGAGCTGGGACTGCTGTGCTGCCCTGAGCAAGGCAATGGGGCCAGTGCTGTTGGCACAGGCACTGCCCACTCACCTGGGAGCTGTCCCAGTGCTTTGAGGGAATGGCACTGGGATGGGCAGGACAGGCAGTGGCTTCTGGCTGGGGTGTGCGGGATGTTTGGAGTGAAACAAAATACTCACCTGGGACTGGCTTTAGGTGCTACAGCTGAATCTTCCTGCAGCTGTGAGCAAAACCTGCCCTGGGTTTAAACTGGGCTTGAATTCCTCAGTTGCCCTTTGCTATAGGAGCAGATCCCCTGTCACCACCTCTGGAGCTGATGGGTGAGTGCAAGGAGCAGAGGAGCAAGCACCCCCTTGTGCAACACTGGCAAGCAGCTCTGGGGAGCCTGTGTTTTATGCACTTCCTTTGAATGCAGCTCAGCACAGCCCTAGGCTGGGAGGTGAGCCCCTGCACCAGCATCCAGAGCTGGCAGGGCTCCCAGGACCTCAGACATGGCAAAAAGGCTGTCCCCACCACACACATCATCAGTCTGTAGCATGTCCAGGGCAGACATAGACCCCTTGGCACCAACAGTGCTGGCAGCATCCTCCTCAGAGATGGGGCCCCAACTCTTAAAGCTTTGTTTAGAGTATGAGTATCACACGGGTTTTGTGCTAGTCCTTCTCCCAGGGGTCAGTTATTGTGTCCTTTATGCTCTTGTTGCTTATTGTCTTTTTTTGTCTCCTGATTTTCACCTTTTTCCTTTGTACATGGGGAAGAGGAGAAAGCACAGTTCAAAAAGCAACATTTAGTCCATAGTAGGATAGGATGGTGGGAGTCTGCTCCTGCTTGTTTTCTTCACCTATGCAAAGGATTCAGACTGGATATCTGGTGGTTTTGTGTTTCTCAGCCTTAATGGAGGGGAAAAAATGGCTGCAGGACAGTGATCAATGTTTCAAACCAGCTTTCAAACCTTTACCCAGCCTGCTGAAGGTGAGGGTTATTTTAGACCACCCTTTAATGCTCACTGATATTGCATGAAGATTTTGCTTTAGAATACAAATCTCATTCTTTTTGTAATAAGACAGTCACCCGCTGTGGTTGGGTAAGGGGGTGAGTACTCCCACATGGGCTCTACCTCCTTTGTTGTACCAGGTTAAATACACTGCATGTTTCCTGCTAACCCTTTGTAAGTTAAGAAACAAACCTGTCACTGTTGCCTCTCAGCATGCCCCCATGACAGAGGCAGTGGCCAGGTGAGCCCTCCTGCACTTCATGTCCTGGCGGTGCTGCTATGGGAACAGGGTGGAATGGGAGCTGCTCGTCCAGTGCCTGAGGCAGCCAGGCACCTACTGAGTGAGTACTTCCAGAACCAGCATCTTGGGCAGCTCTTGGGAGGGGATGGGATCACCTCCAGTCACACAGTAGCATCGCGCCATGAGGAGCCGTCCATTCATTAAATGAAACAGCTTCCATCCCACTTTAAATGCAAGCATGCAAGTGATTTCCAAGGGAAGTCTACTGAAGAGCTGAGGATCAGCTTTTATAGCTGAAAGGTCCATCCTGCTCTACAGTAAAACATCACCTAGAAGCATTTTCCAACAATAGAGCACTTTCCTTACCTAAACTGCAGGAATCTACCCTGCAGCTTGGTATTTTGGGAAAGCACAGAGTGACCTGTAAAGCCCCACATCCCAGCTATTGTGAATGTTTCATTTCACAGAAAAAGTGGGAT